GGCCTGGAGGGCCGAGCTCTTGGGGGTTGTCTGCTGGAGAAGGACCCAAGTGTGGCCCTTAGCTGGAGGGCTAGTCCGTCATCCTCGCTGCAGGGGAGCAGGGTCTGCACGGGGGGAGCCGAGCACCGTGTGTGGAGAGGCCTGTTCCAAGGAGCACGTCACCAGCAGCACCCGGGGGACACCACGGTGCCTTCCATGACTGCCCACGCACCGCGGCCTGGCCTGGGAGATGTCCCGGGCACCCTGCTGCTCTGGAGATGGGCACTGCTAAATGGGCAGGGGCTGCCCACCCAAGCGGTGGGATGAGGGGGCTGCGAGGTGGATTTCCTTGGGGTGAGCGGGCAGCTCTCCCTTCTCCAGGGGGGAGCTCTTATCACTCCACAAGTTCCCTGGGTCTGACCTCTCAGCCTCTTGCAAACCCACTTCCTAGCCTCGCAAACCCACCCCAGCCTGTGTGAGCCTGGCAGCAGAGACGGGAGCTGGGAAGCAAACTGCTGTGGCCCAAGTCCAGGGGAGCAGCTCCCCCCACCCTCCTCAATGTCAGGGGGGAGACGCCTGGGCCCTGAGCACCAATGATCCTGGCCTGCCAAGCCTCTTCCCTCGGTCACATGTTGACCTGGTGCCCTTCATCCTGGGCGTGCTGCTGACCCAGCCCCATGTGGGGCGATGAAGGGAGTGGGGGCAAGACCGCGGCGCGGGCTGTATAGGAGCCTGGATCATAGCAACCCAATAAAAGGGTTTGATCTTGTGCCTTGTTTTTACATCTGTCCTGTCGGTTTTTAATTTGCTGTCGGTGTTTGCAGGGCTCCATCGGGGTCCTGCCCTGCGTGCATGTCCTGGCTCAGCCCAGGCCGCTGTGACTTGGACCTGGTGTGACCACTGCCCTTGCTGGCACTTTGAAGCAGATGCTGTAGCCCCAGGCATCGAGGGGGTGCAACAGCAAAGGGCAATAGGGATCCACCCAGCAGATCTGGCCACACAGCACTTGTCTCCAGGGCAGCGGACCCGGACCCAGGTGAGCACAGGACAGCACGTGGTCTCCCTCCGGGGATGTGTCAGGTACTGCCTGCAAATTTAGAGGAATTTGCCTCCCGTTTGCCCAAGTGCGGCCATGGGAAAGCTGGAGGACTGGTGCTAGAGATGGGCTGGCCATTTCCTCAGTGATGGAAGGGGCCATGTGTTTGCAGCCAGCCCTGCTGCTTTGGAGCCAGTTCTGCCTGTCCCAGCACTGGGAGAAGGCTGAGGGGGGGATCTAGTGGCCTGTTACAAACTAGTCAGGGGGGACCATCTGGCATTGGGGGAGTCCCTGTTCCCCCGAGCACCGCCAGGAGCGACCAGGGAAAATGGTCACAAGAGCGCGCCCGTGGTCTGCCACTGCCCCCAGCACCATCGACTGAGCCTGTAGTCACCACTGCCCCTGAGCCTGCTCGCCGGCAACTGGCAGAGCTCTGTCCCCTCTGCTCCCCCACCGGTGACTGGGGCATGAGCCACGTAGAGAAGCCAGACCCTCTCCATCGCAATGCAGAGCACATGCAGACACACACACAGCCCTGGGCCTGCTCACGTGGTCAGTGGCTGCCGCCCAGCCCACAACATCCACCTCAAGTCACGGTGCCATCCTGCAGCACCTAACACCCCCTGCACCAGCAAAGGTTCCCTCTGGGCAGGTCCCGGGAGCTACAGACCCCCCTGAACATCTCGGGGATGCTGAGCCATGGCTGGGTGAATCAGAGACCTCCAGCATCAAGTGATACGAGCAGTTTCATAGTTTGTAGGGTCGGAAGGGACCTGAGCAGATCGTCGAGTCCAACCCCCTGCCATGGCAGGAAAGAGTACTGGGGTCAAACGACCCCAGCAAGGTGTACATCTA